GGAGGAACATCCTGGGAGTTGAGGGGCATGGCACTAATAAGGGACATAGTGCACTGATAAGGGACAATGGTGCTTCCCAGTATGGCAGGGACACTGTGGGACTGTGCTGCTCCTGTGAGCAGCAGCTGCAGGGATAGCCTTAAGTACCTGCTACTGGCCTCCATTGCAGTGCTTTGAGGGTGAACAGGTGTGGACAGGCATGGGCAACCCATCTGCCTGGGTTCATCAGCCAGAAGGGCATCAGAAAGGCTGACTTAGGGAGGGCTGGGGCAGGCACAGTGGCTCAGGGGTGGCAGCAGGGTTCAGGGGCGGGCAGGCACTGCTGGAGCTGGGAGTTTCACAGAGCTGGTCAGGCTGGAAGGCACCACAGTGGGTCATCTGATCCAACCTCTCTGCTTAAGCAGGGTTGTCCTAGACCACACGGCACAGGATTGCATCCAGACGGTTCTTGAATATCTCCAGTGAGGGAAACTCCAGAACCTCTCTGGGCTCTGTTCCAGTGTGCTGTCACCTGCACAGTAAAGAAGTTCTTCCTCATACTCAGGTGGAACTTCTTATGTGTCAGTTTCTGCCTGTTTCCTCTTGTTCTATTGCTTGGCAGCACCAAGAAGAGCTTGGCTGCATCCTCTTGGCACCCTCCCTTTAGATATTTGCACACATTGATGAGTTCTGCCAAAGAAACACACATGAGACTGGAGCCCATGTCCCCAAAGTCCCCGGTATTCCCCTTTCTCCTTCTATTTTTCTTTTATAACTCTCGATGTTACAGGCATTGTTACTTCTGGTGGTTATTATTTTACAGTATTGCTTCAGGATGCAGCTCCTTAATATTTTACGCATGTACACACACACAACGCACACACATCCCGACTCCCCGTAAGACTTTGGGTAAGGAAACCGCGGCCGCGCAGCTGGGAGGATTCCTGCGATTACTCTCGCTGGTTGTGTGGCGCTGGGGGCGAGATTTCCCTGCCTGTGCCCTTCGGAGCGCCAAGGCCCCGGGCAGCCGTCCCGCTGTTCCCGCAGTCCCTCACTCCCGGCCGTGCGGGCGGGGAGGGGCGGGGCGCGCGCACGTGCGCGGGGGCGGTGCGGGCGGCGGCGCAGGCGCGGGCGGGCCGGGGCAGG